GTTAAAGGTTAAGTTGTTTACCTACAGCTACGATATTGTGAAGGCCATTCCAATTCTCTCATGTCTCAGTTGTTGTTTTTCGAATTTCAGTTATTAGTTTGAGGAAGTGAAAAACCCAGTAATGAAATTTTGTCAGCTGCTCATGTTGATCAAGATGAAGGACGAGTATTTTCAAAGTAAGAAAATTTTCGTATTTCTTTAATACGGCAGGATTTAAAGTGAAAATTCTATATTGGCAAAACGATTGATTCACTCAAAATCAATACACCCAAGGTAAGGAAAGTATGAAGAGCAAACCAAAAGTTTTTTTGTAACTTATACATTGACTACAGAGTTCTAAAAACTTTGGCGGAAACTATTTTAAAAACTAGCTTTCGGTACAATTAAAACATTTAATGGATAAGGTAAGTCTGATAAGGGAACACGTTTAATGAAGAAAAATTTGTCTTTCCTCAGGTTTATTTTTATAAATTTAGTATGTTATTTTTCTATGTTAATAAAATAATTCAGTTTTCACAGAATTATGTACATGCTCGATTTAGAATTGAATTACATACCTTAAATCTTAAGTAGGAATAACTACGGAAAGTGAATTTTCTCACCATTTGTACATTTTGTTTAGTGGTATTAGTCTTTACACTAGGTAATCGTCTGATCGAAAGACAGAGTTACTGTAAGAATACATCAACTCTACAACAACGCTCCTTCTCCGTTGTGATTGTGCACAATGTTCTTGGGCACATTATGGGTTAATCTTATACTTTGTAATACTGTAATTGAGGCTAGTGTATCCTTTAAAGTTAATACATGGGACGACAATTAAATTAGTAAAGCATTAAATTTTTTCTATAAATAGGCATAAGACAAGGCGTTTAGCTCTAGGTTGTTTTAAAACAGCTTTTTTTATTGCATACAGTATTTATTAAATATTAGAGTATTGTGGTATTCTTTAAGTGTTAGTGTCTATCCTCTATACTGCGGTATATCAAGAATATCTAGCGGTGTGAAAACAAACTAAAATAGGGAAATTAACTATTTCACTTCTAGCAGGATAATTTATTTAATATCTTACTTGAATAACCATCTTAAAGTGTTCAGATTCACAGGTTCTATATAAATTATTACGTTTTTGAAGAAGGAAACAAACAAGAGTTATGCTTCATTATCGGTTTATTATAATCTTTCACAAATACAAAAAAATAGTGCTAAGTAAACCATTTGAAAGTTGATCATTTCTTTTATCTAAGCGAATTCCAAATTAAGAACTCCAATACGTACTAATGGAGATTTAAATATTCTTCCTTTTTACATACGTTAAATTAGTGAATGATCTCAAACTCCCATTAATAATTTAAATATTTTCTTACACATACATCAATTATTAGTTTTGTTTTCAATTCGTACATTATAAGCGTTCACTACGTACATAAAAACCAATCTATGTTTCTAGCTGTACAACATGTAAACATGATAAGTTAACACTGTTGTGTTTTAAAACAAATTGACTGTTCTAGATTAATAAATAAGACAAGTTAACTTCTATTTCGGTATATTACAATTCGAATGACTTCATATTTGGTCGCAATCCAACGCTGGCAAATAAGATCACTGTGGTCACTACTCCAGGTGAACTTAGCAAGGACCAGCTTCGGTGTTTCATCCTATTGATAAATATAACAAAACGAATGAATAAAATGATAAAAACAAACTTACTATTTAGTCTTTGTAATTTGGAAAAGTTGGTCATTTAGCATATTTCAAGTTTATTTTCATTACAGTCATAGATGCTGCCACAAAACCATAATTTATTTGTTTATTTAAAGCAAATGCCACATTCAGCTACCTTCTATGTTTACCGTGGGGAATTGAACCCAGGACTTTTAGCGTTATAAATTCGTAAACTTACCGCTATACCACCGGAGAGCAAAGCCATAATTATCGTGACTTAATAACATGACTAAAGCGCTTTTATCGCGTCAGCTTCATATAACTTTGTCATTATAGTATTATCCAGTCGTAAGATACTTCAATCTCCTTGTAAAGAGAATATTGAATAGTTATTAATACCAGTGACTATAAGACTTGCTTAGAAACTTAATATGGATATTATTAAGATTATTATTCTAACAGTATTATTTTAGCTGCTGTTAGAATGCGTTTTATAAACATGTTGTTAACTTCAATGAGAGACATAATATATATATCACCGTTTTCAGGTTTGATAGCTTTCTAAAAATCCAGATACACCAAATCTACACCCTTACAACCATCTATTTTTCAAAGAATGTCATAAAATTTGTAAGGCAATATTTTCTTTTAGTGAAACCATGTTGACTATCCAATGAAAGTGTATACTTTGTTATATGGCTAGCTTTGATGTGAAATACTAACATTCCGCTACTAGAGACTATTGATTTATGGTCAGAACTAGTATTCCTCTCATCAGTTTGTGTTTTCTAAATTGATATCCTTTGAAACTAAGGAATCAATTTCATATTTAATACAATAATTTTTCATCAGAATTGTACTGTTAGTTTGAGATCAAACTTGCAACTGTTATGGCTAATTTGTTTAAGTTTAATGACACATTTACTATTTTTTAAATCACAATCTCATGTTGAAAATGGTTTGAAATATTTGCATTTAAAGAAGGACAAAATTATAACCGAAAATGTGAATAAAGAAATTATACCAATTGACTATCATGTTGAAATAATGTATAGTTTAGCGAAAAGTCACAGGTAGAACAGTCCTGTAAGGCCAATAGTTAATAAATATTGGTATGTACGAACAACGAGTTCAACGTTAAATATAGTTTGAGTTTTCAACGTTAGTGCATAATTTGAAGTTTAATCAAAACATGTATATGGCTTGCTTTTATGTGGAATCTCTTACACTCCGCTACAAGTTCAGAACTGGTGCTTCATTCATCAATTGAAACTAGCGAATCAATTTCATATTTGATAGAACAATTTATTATTAGAATTATACTGTTAGTAAGAGATCAAACTTGCGACTGTTACAGCTATTTTGTTTAAGTTTAATGACACATTTACTATTTTTTCAATCACAACCTCATGTTGAAAATGGTTTGCAATAGTAAACATCCAAACATAAGACTTATAATATGAAAATATACATAACAACGTTGTTAAATGTATGAATACATTAAAATTAATAAAATCTTCATGTTTCTACTAGCTCCAACCAACCATCTTAAAGGAAAAGTTCTATAGATATTCATGCAGTAACATACCATAGATACTTAAGTGTTTCTTTCATCATACGTTCACAAATATTGTTCCAATGACGTACTGCAAACGTCATAAACATGCGCAGAAAAAATAGTTTATATTTAAATCAAACTGGAATGAAAGTTACATTGTCCTTTTTCGTAATACTGTCTAATAGCTTCGCGAAGGATCCGATGTTCTATTCTTGATTTTAATATATTCATGCTTTTAACAACGTTCTCATAATGTCATATTATGTATTATTTTAACATTTAACATGAAGTTTCCATTCACATTTCATAAAAGTTACTGTTGCTTGTGACCAATAATATAGTTTGTTGCTCTTAGATACTCTTGTTTGTAACAGACAAGGTTGGTTGTTAGTAGTTTTGTTCCTAAGAAACTTAAAGCAAATTTCTATAGATGTTTATTAATCACACATACAGGATTCTAAGTAAATCGTATTATAAACTTTCTGAAATGTAACGAGTTTTTTGTAATTAATTCTAAATATCTTCACCACTCCGAAAATCTTCAAGAAACCAGTAGTAATAGTGTTACAGTGCTTAGGACATCATTCGAAATATATTAAAACGAAATTTGTTTTAGTATTAGGCATAGTCTATCCACAGGTTCAAATTAAGAGTACTTTATTGTTAGAATAAATAACATTTATTTTAAGGACTGAATACCCAAATATGAGATTTTATTTGTTATTTAGTTCGAAGGAGTATGTAACAACATTCAGATGTCTTGATATTCCAATTATAATAAGTAAGTAGGACTTAGTGTTCCTACATTAATATTACAAGACTATACTTTGTTTTCCATTCGTCCCTTTTAATTTTTACAAGGTGGCACATAAAAGGCTGGTGAAAAATTATCTCCTTATGTGTGGGGGATATGTTAGATAATTGGATAGAAAAGTGGCTGGATGGAAGAAAGCAGAAGGTTGTTATCAATGGAGTTCAGTCAATCTGGATTAATGTCACAAATGGGGTACCTCAGGGCTCAGTCTTAAGAACTTTACTCTTTTTGATTTACATCAATGACATAGATGAAGGAATGGTCAATAAATTACTTAAATTTGCTGATTATATAAAGGTCTTGATGTTTAAGTGAAGGGTAGGTAGTGGTATTTAATTATTTGCGTTTTTGTTTGTAGGTCACCGGTTGTCATGTATTCTCTTCTTAATCTTCTTCGTTCCTTTATTTTGTTGATTATGTCAGTGTTTGGTTGCCATTTGGTTTGGGTATTGTTTATTGATACTTTTGGTATACATCTGTCTGCGATAGCAGGTGATTTTTAGTTTGGTTTGTTTTGAATTTCGCGCAAAGCTACACGAAGACTATTTCTCTATTGTGAAAGGAACTCTGACCCAATAAAAACATAAGTTAGTAGTCAAGCTTTGTCGTCTTTACAAATATAAGTTTGGAAAAAAAATCTTATATCTTATAATATAATCTTTTACACATGATGGGAAGTCAGTATGGTACAGTTTTCCCCAAATTTTGTCCGGATCCGAATTCTGGGTCACTTTGAAGTATTTTTCTATAATGAGTAAATAGGGCACTTTCGCGGTTTGCGGTTAATAACTCTGTAAAATATGATCGGATTTCTTCCAAATTTAATGGGCGCATTAACGTTTAGACTCCTGATCACACTACAGAATATTATTCGGATCGTTAATCATTCTGTATCTGAAAAGGATTTTCTGAGCTTTTGAAGGTGATTTTTGACGTTATCCAATAGAAACGCGTGTAATCTCGAAAAGTAGAAGCTAGACGACGATATTCAATCTCTCTGATTGCTCTTCTTGAACTTGTAAAACGTACTGATTTAGCTAAAGTAGGACGACGTAAAGAAAGTAAGAGTGAGTAAACTTCAAGAAAGAAATTAGTGCAAGAAATTCAACACTATATTCAAATATATTACAGGATTCCCCACGATGAATAAAAATCTATTGTCTATAATGGAAACACAACTTCATCAATACTTACTGCAGTTAAAGACGGACAGTTATAACTGAAAATGTGTATAAAGAAACTATACCAATTGACTTTCACGTGGGATAATATAATTCTTACCCGAAAACTCACAGGCAGAACATTCCTGTAAGGCCAATAGTTTCAAATATTAGCATCTATGATAATAAATATTTATGTGTGTGTGTGTGTGGTTATTATTTTTCTCCATAAATATGCGAATAATGAATTCACCGTTATCAATGATTTAAGTTTTGGACGTTAGTACAGAATTTGAATTTTAATCAACATGAGTATGTAACATAACGTTTAGGAACAACAAGAAACCTATAGGTCTATTTACGCTGTCCCATTCTCTAAACTAAACTAAAACTATTAAATGAAACATAGAAATAGAAAATCCTCAAAGCCAACCTTAATAATTCATGTAGTTATCAAGCTTTCTTTCATTAACACTGTTAAGGTTATTCCCATCCAAATTATACCTATACTTCAAATTATGATAACCCACATGCATTATCTTGCATTTATTATAATTTAAACCCATCTGCCATTTATTCGCCAAACTCACTAAATGGACTAAATCCCTTTGCAAAGCAGCAGCAGTATACTCCAGCAACCCTGATGCTCCTATCTTCCAGGAAATTAGAAAAACAGGGAATAATTTCTATAGGGAGTCCCAATTTGGACAGTTTGTATCTGAGTCCGTTGTGCGACATTACATTGTTTTCTTTATTAAAGCCGTGTATTATTTCTTCCATTCATCTTATGAAATCATTTGGTTGTTTGTCTTGCTTTTGTATTTCCGGAAGTGTTGATTTAGTTTCAAGACAATTGATGAGATTACTATTTATGATTTTTTTCAAATAATTTTCTTAGATTACTTATTAGACTTATGGGTCTGATTATTCCCTGATTTTCCTCCCTTCTGTAACAACCTCCAGTGGCACAGCGGTATGTCTGCGGACTTAGAACGCTAGAAACCGGGTTTCGATATCCGTGACTGGCATAGCACAGATAGCCCTTCGTGTAGCTTCGTGCTTAACTACAAACACACTACAGAATATCTTTCTGGAACATATGAACATCGGCCTGTTTCAAACGGTTTGTGTGAATCCTATTTTTAGAGATAGGTCGTATAAATATGTGAGATGTTCTAATAATCTGAGAGGGCCTTTCTTGAGTAATATGTTTTGAATTTTATCTTGTCCTGGTGCTTGGTTTTTCAAAAGTTCTGTGTTTCAGTGTACTTCTGTTACTGTGATGGGGCTTATAAGTTGTTTTGTTGTATAGTCATGTTCCGCTTTTGTTGTTATATTATTGGGTTGAATATACTTAGTGAAGTGTGGTGTTCATATATACTACGATTGGTTGTGATATAATTATTTACTATGTTCATGAAGTAGTTTTTCATGTTTGAGACGTCTAGTGTTTTGAATGTTTTTGGAGTTGTTCTTTAAAGGCGTGTGCTTTATGTTTATTCATGTATGCTAGTGTATTATTACCAGTGTCATTTTTCAAAGACACAGAACCAACAGACACAAAAGGTCTAAATTCCTCTCTGATTACACCAGCCTTTGTACCAGTTTTGTGTCTAGGATTCGGTTAGCCTAGCACTGTTTGACTTGTACGATTCTTATTTATGATGATTAGAGGGAAAAAGTACTAAGGGCTTGGTTCATCATGTATTATGTAACTCTCTAGTTTGTTCATAAGTTCATATTTATTAATATTTTTCTTATAATATTTAAGTCTGTCTGATAAAGTTGTCATGTTTGAATAGTTGTGTAGAGATTCTGAGTTTGTTGATTGTGAGACTCTATATGCTTTCGTTAAAATATAGTTTTGTATTTGCCGTAGTTTGTTGATGTGTGTTTTTGATATATTTATCCATGTTATACAGGTATATTCTACGACTGGTCTTATGTGTGTTCTGTAAATTTTAATATGTTTTATGGTGAAGCTTTTTTTGTTGTTGTTGTTGTTGCCAGTCAGGGTCCTAAGGTAACTCGCTCTTTTCCAAATTCTGGTTTTTATGCTTATAATGTGTGGTATCCAGTTTAATTTTGAGTTAAATATAATCCCTAAGAATTGTGTTGATGAGAGTTCCGTCTAGATATAACTGTGGTATTAATTTGCTTATTTTGTACGATTTTGTAAATAATATGACTTTTGTTTTGTACACATTAATTTTAATTCTCCGTTTATTGCAGTACAATTCTATTTCGTTTATTAGTGGTTGTATGTTGTATGCTGCTGTTGTTGGGTTTGGGACATTCTTCCAGATTGCAACATCATCTCTGAACTGTGAGCAAAGAGTATGGTTTGTGTCTTTGAGAGGCATGTCGCTGACACACATGATTAGGGCTAAGTACTCTTCCTTGAGGGGCACCCGCCTCCGAAGTACAGCACTCGGAGTAAGTGCCCTCAACATCCACTTCGCTGATTGTTTAATGCAAGTTTCAAAAGACTTGATTGATCTCTTTGAATACGGATTATCACTTCAGATGGCTGCTTTACTTTTAACTTTATTGCATTTAGGTGGTGTAAAGTATATTTTACTTACATGAAAGACGTTACCTTGGACAGAATATATATTTCAATATAGGGATTTAACATTAATGTAATCATAATGGATGATGAAGAGAGAGAACACAGAAGATTAAAATTAGAATTGTTAGACTTATAAATTGCTTGTTCTTTAGTAATAACACTTAACCAGATGAGAATAATAATTTTTATTCACGAACATTTAGAAATAATAAGTGTTTCAAAGTAGATACTGCATACTAAGTCTCTCATTTTATCTTGCTTTGTTTCTGTCTCTTTCTTTCTTTTTTTTATTAGATATCCCATAATGGGTAATAATACCAATCGTTTCCTAACAATAATGATACACCCTTAATTACTGAAGTAGGTCTTACTCCAACCTCATAAATAAATGTTATGCTAAATAAATGTATGAAAAGGAACATTAACAAAGCCACCCTCAATACCCTGAGCAATAACAGACTCATCAGATACACCCTGAATTGGCGAAGTAGGTCTTACTCCAACCACATAAATAAATGTTATGCTAAATAAATGTTATGAAGAGCAACATTAACAAGACCACCCTCAATACCCTGAGCAGTAACAGACTCACCAGTGGTAGAACTCGAATATAAAGGCTATGTATCTTCTAACAATAATGATTGAGTCGCCCCAGTATCACGTAGAATACGTATGGGTATGGGATTAAGGAAGTTTAATTGGATAAGACTCTCTTAGAGCAGTTTGATCACATTTTACGTCACACCCATTCAGATGCCAAATTATAAAGCATGACAGAATTACAATCCCAATTGGTGGTTTTCGTCTCACCATACTATGCCTTTAACTGTTCTGAAAAACAATAAAGACAAATTACCTAATACAAATTCAAATATTTTTGTAAAATTGTTATTTCCTAACTAATTATATTGTAAAATACATGGTTTTGTTTAGGACTGGTTTCTTACTACTTTATTGCACTTTATTTTTGAGGAAAAATTTATAAATTGTGGTAATTATCTTGATTACTGGTTTCATTATTTTATCATTTATTTTGGATTTAAATGTTTAAATTTAAATCAAGTTTATTAATTGATAGGAAATGCGATGAATTCACTTTGCTCTGTCTATTTACACGTGATTGTAGGACTTAAAATATCAGTAAAGAGTTTGATTAATAAAAATAGAATATGTTTTGTTTGTTTTTGAATTCTCGCAAAGCTACACGAGGGCTATCTGCGCTAGCCATGCCTAATTTAGCAGAGGGAAGGCAGCTAGCCATCACCACCCACCGCCAACTCTTTTACCAACGAATAATGGGATAGACCGTCATATTATAACGCCCCCACGGCTGAAAGGGCGAGCGTGTTTGGTGGGAATTCGAACCTGCGACCCGCAGATTGCGAGTCAAGTGCCCTAACCACCTGGCCATGCCGGGCCTGATATGTTTTTTTGTTAAGCAGAAAGTTACACATTGGGCTATCTGGGTTCTGCCCTCAGATGTACTGGTGACCGCTTTCCTGCATCAATGTATTTGATATTGTGACACTTAAACGAACTGACAATATAGTTTAGTTTATTTAATAAGTTACATTTATTCCTAACATGGTTCGAATCCGTGCGATAGTACCAAATGTTTAGCGACCTTTAACCTATGAGTGCGTTTAAGAGTGACAGTCAATTCTTGGCATAGCTCTGACAGGCTGGCTTCGCTCTAGTCAGTATTTTTAAATTATGGGCGGCAGAAGAAATAAATCTAGAAAGTGTGAGTTTATGCAGTAAGCCACTAGAGGCAGACAACGCTATATTTTTTATCTTTTACATTTTAAATAAGCTACGTGAGAAAACGAGATAGAATATAAAGTGATTATTTTCATTATTAAGAACTACATATAATTTTTTTGCAAAGAGCGATAGCATTAAAAAACTCTGTCATTCTCTTTTCTTCTTTTTAAAGTATAACCAAAACAAACGTTTCACCAGTTAGAAACGATATTGTAGTGGATCATCAGACATGAATAAAATTAGTGCAGTACTTACCAAAGTTCCAAAGGGTCTACTCTGTGTATTTTCCTTTTGGGTTTTTTGTTTGGTAAGGAAGCTGAATATGCTTACACTGAAGTACAGATTTCGTCTCGAAAGACATCCCCTTTTATTGAGATTTGCGTTGCTAAAAAACGCCTTGGTAACAAATGTTCTGAGTCTGCGCATTTCTTATCTTCTTCCACAGAAACCTTCGAAACACAAGAAGAAAACCTACGCTGTTTATGCTGCAAGACGTTACAGTCAATCCGCTTCTGCTTTAGTTGAGCACGATAATCTGGCCAGTAATCAATCGTTCTTGGTCTAATTTTAAATGAAGACGAAACGTTGGCCATACTTAAAATTCCAGATTATCGATTAAATAAGTACAAAAAACAACCAGATGACAGAGCTAAATTCGAAGTTTCAGCAGGAGATACAAGAATTTCAAATCCACTGCGGGAAAATGGCCGTATTACAAGTTTAAGAAAAAGCAGGCAAGAAATGGTTATAAAATCTGATGAAATGAGCGAAATAAAGTATCTTACACATCCATTAAGAAGCCTGAGCAACGAGATTCAGAAAGGAGAATGTTGACTTACTACAGAAGGGTCGAAAGACGTGGTTATAGAAGCAAATTATTAGAAAACGTAAGAACTACCACTTCTGAAACAGGAAATTCTCAAAATCGTAGGAGCATTGAGAAAAACTATGAAAGGAAATTTTTAGGAAGCCAAAGAAGAATTAACAGGCGTAACTCTAAAATTAGGGCTATCAAAGGTTGTGAATTTTCTAACGGAGATCAATTTTGTAGAAGAAATATGGAAAACAAGTCGATTTTCATAAGAAGTGTGCAAGAAACTAGAGCTTTAGGAAACCGTCGTGCTGATAATAAAGTCTCAGAAAACCGAAGAACACCACAGCAATATATCTCTGAAAGTAGGACTTTGGAAAATCGAAGAAATGAAGACTCTGAAAGTTTGTTTCTGGGAGACAGAAAAACAATGGAGAGGAGGAACTTTAAGAGTGAACAGTGGAAAGAAACCGAAACGCATGGTTCTCAGAAGCAAACATTGTATGAACAGACAAAAGAAAAACACGATTTTCAAACTAGGACTTTCAAAAACCTTAGAAGAACCAAAACACCTGACTCTGGCAGGCGGACAATGGATATCATTAAGTCAAATGAGAGACGTGTTTCTCAAAGTAGAAGGATGGAGAATCGAAGAACAAACAAGAAGCGTGTTGTAGAAAACCAAACAGGGGAACACCGAAGAACATTCGGAAAACGAGAGACTGAAACTAAGACTTTAGAAAACATGAAAGCAAAAAAGATGCATGAGCCTGAAAGGCAAAAGTTGGAATTCAGTAGGTCAAATGAGAGACGTGTTTCCCAAATTAGAACTTCAGAAAACCAAAGAAAAAACAATCTGAGGGTTTCCGAAAGACAAACAGAGCAACACCGCAGAACACTCGAAAGGCCTGAAATTAGGACTTTAAAAAAATTGAGGACAAACAAGATGCATGACTACAAAAGGCAAACATTGGAAATCAATCGTTCAAGTGACAAACGTGTTTCCCAAAGTAGAACTACGAAAAATGGAAGAACAAATGAGAGTCGTATTATGAAAAATCAAACAGGAGATAGGCGTAGAACACTCGGGAGACGTGATACTAAAACTAGGACTTCACAAGACTTGAAAGAAAACGATATGCATAGTTCTGAAAGGCAAACATTAGAATTTAGTAGATCAAATGAAAGACGTGTTTCTCAAATTAGAGCTTCGGAAGACGAAAGAAAACACAAGCTGAATGTTTCTGAAAGAGATTCTAAGGAACATCGCAGAACGTTCCAAAGACGCGAGTTTCAAACTAGGAGTTTAGAAAACAAGAGAACAGATAAGATTCATGATCCTGAATGGCAAACATTGGAATTAAGTCGGTCAAATGAGAGACGTCTATCACAAAGTAGAACCATGGAAAACGAAAGAAGAAGCGAGAGACGTATTTTGGACAGACAAACAGAGGAATACCGCAGAACACTCGAAAGAAGTGAGTTTCAAACTAAGAGCTTAGGAAACTTGAGAACAGATAAAATTCACGATCTCCAAAGGCAAACACTGGATTTCAGTAGGTTAAATGAGAGACGTGTTTCTCAAACTCGAACTTCACGAAACAGAAGAAAAAACGAACTGAGTGTTTCTGAAAAACAACCAGGGGAATACCGCAGAACACTCGAAAGATGTGTGTCTGAAATTGGAACATTAAAAAACTTGAGAACAAATAAGATTCATGATCCTGAAAGGCAAACATTCGATGTCAATATGTTAAATGAGAGACGCGTTTCTCATATTAGAACTTTGGAAAACCATAGAATGAACGATCTTAGTGTTTCTGAAAGAGAAACAGCGGAACGCCGTAAAACACCTGAAAGAGTCGAGACTGAGTCTAGGACTTTAGCATATATAAGAACAAACAAGAGGTATGATTCTGATAAGCGTGTATTGGGCTACAGTAGAACAAATGCGAGACATACTTCTCAAATTCGAGGTGGGGAAAACGGAAGAATAAACGAGATGCGTGACTTGCCAAAGCGAGCAAGTGAACTACAAACTAGACTTAAAATACGTGACACTCAAACTAGGTCTTTAGAACACCATAGAATAAATGAAAGGCATGATTCAAAACTGCAAACTTTTCAACACGACAGTACAAACAAAAGACGTAATTTACATCGTGGACTTTTTCCGACCGAACGAAAAGTAACTCTAAGAGATAACTCCCAGGTGAAGGATTTAGATAATGGAAAAACTACGGAAAGTCAAACTTCGAAAAACCGACGAAATG